AGTTATCTGTAAGAAGCAGATTCTGGATTACCTTGTCACTGAGATCTTTTTTGCACAGGAAACAGGGAAATGTTCCGATGCCTATTTTTTTTAGAAAAAAAAATATTAGTTTGATCAGATCATCCACATGCGTCTAATCAGATTTATATTCACTTTCTTCTCTATTTGTAGGAAGATAAAAATATATATTTCCCAGATTTTTCTTTGACTTACAGTGTTTTATCTTTGACACAGGGGGGGTGATTTACTAAACCTGGAGACTGCAAAAATGTGGTGCAGCTGTGCCTAGAAACCAATCAGTTTCCAGGTTTTATTGCCAAAGCTTAATTGGAAAAGCTGAAGCTAGAAGCTGATTGGCTGCCGGTGCATCACAGCTGCCCCAGATTCTGAGTGCTCCCGGTTTTAGTAAATCTCCCCCCGAGTGCCTTGTAATCTTTTTGTTTTTTTGCTTTAAATTAAATGTAAACATTGTCAAGATGTTCGTTTTTTGTTATTTTTGCCCAGTCTTGGGGTATTTACATCATTATCAACATGTTACTTTGTATACCAGGCCCTCGCTATTCTTCTTAACACAATTCTTTGGATTTATTTTTTTTTTATGTGCAAATTGTCCACTTACCCCATGGCTGAGAGTCTTCTGTCTTTTATTGCTCTGCTAAAAAAAATATTTTTTTTTTATAAATTTTTTTAATTTAATTAAAACGTATTTAATGAATAAGACAAAGAAAGCGGAGAACGCCCAAAAAGAAATGGTACAGGACTGTAGGGCAACTACAAAAATGAATGAGGTAAATACGAAGAACTTTATGGGACATAATCAATATATAAGAATAACAATGATATAGTATGACCCATAAATAAAACATGAATATGAATGGCTATGCCTCAAAGGAGGCAAACAACAAGACGCATGGAGGTGACACATATATGTTCCTAACCCCAGAAAACACTAAACAGCTCATCCACTCCCTCATCATCTCATGACTCGACTACTGCAACTCCCTTATCACTGGCCTGCCTCACCGCTGGCTATCCCCGCTTCAGTCCATCCTGAATACGGCTGCCAGACTCATTCACCTTTCCAACCACTCCATCTCCACCACCCCCCCTCTGCTAATCCCTCCACTGGCCTCCACTCAGTGTCCTCCACCCCTCTCTGCCACCGCCCCGCTCGTGCCAATCCCTCTACTGGCCTCCACTCAGTGTCCTCCACCCCCCTCTGCTAATCCCTCCACTGGCCTCCACTCAGTGTCCTCCACCCCCTCTCTGCCAATCCCTCTACTGGCCTCCACTCAGTGTCCTCCACCCCCCTCTGCCAATCCCTCCACTGGCCTCCACTCAGTGTCCTCCATCCCCCTCTGCTAATCCCTCCACTGGCCTCCACTCAGTGTCCTCCATCCCCCTCTGCCAATCCCTCCACTGGCCTCCACTCCGTGTCCTCCATCCCCCTCTGCCAATCCCTCCACTGGCCTCCATTCAGTGTCCTCCACTCCTCTCTGCCAATCCCTCCACTGGCTTCCATTTACATCCCTCTCTACCAATCCCTCCAGTGTCCTCCACCCCTCTCTGCCAATCCCTCCACTGGCTTCCATTTAGTGTCCTACATCCCTCTCTACCAATCCCTCCAGTGTCCTCCTCCTCTCTCTGCCAATCCCTCCACTGGCCTCCACTCAGTGTCCTCAACCCCTTTCTGCCAATCCCTCCACTGGCCTCTATCCCTCTGTGCCAATCCCTCCACTGGCCTCCACTCAGTGTCCTCCACCCCTCTCTGCCAATCCCTCCACTGGCCTCCACTCAGTGTCCTCCATCCCCCTCTGCCAATCCCTCCACTGGCTTCCGATTGCGCAATGGATCAAATTCAAAATCCTAACACTGACGTACAAAGCCGTCCACCATACTGCCCCGAACTACATCACTGACCTAATATCCAAGTACCACCCAACACGCACACTCCGCTCCTCACAAGACCTCCTTCTCTCTAGTTTCCTGGTCTCCTCCTCCCATGCCCGCCTCCAGGACTTCTCCAGGGTGTCACCCATCCTCTGGAACTCCCTGCCCCACCCAACCCATCAGATTGTCACCTACTCTCCTCTCCTTTAGGCGCACCCTGAAAAAACCCATCTCTTCAGGGAAGCCTACCCCCACCCCCTGCTAATTGCCGATCTCCTCCACTCCTCCCACCACTCCATCCCCCACAGCTATCTCCTCCTGTGCCACCATCCCCTCCCTCCTAGATTGTAAGCTCGAAAGAGCAGGGCCCTCAATCCCCCTCATGTTTTGCATTGTATTGGTATTGTTCTGTCACATGTTCTGTCCCCCTTTGTAATGTACAGCGCTGAGCCAACTATCGGCACTTTATAAATACTGTATAATAATAATAATAATAATAATAATATATCTCATCTGCATTTCATGATGTTTTTCATCTGATACTTTGTCCCCATTATTTAGGGGTAAGATCATTGCACAATATATCGCTGTATTGTATGTCTGACAATATGTATCATTTATACAAAACATTGTTTTACTTCACATCATACAGACAGGGTCTCTATTTTGATACATGTACTGTATATTATTTGTTTGGTAAATATGTAATTTTCATTGTTATTGTCTTTTTCTTTACTTGCTTTAGAGATCTTTCAGATTTAGGTATGTATACTTTCAAGTAAATGATTTGTGGGCCCCGAAGAAGCGGGGACACCTGCGCAATGTGTTGACCTATGTCATCGGATGCATTTGAACCCCTTGCCCACCAGAGGATTTACCCCCTTTCCTGACCAGGACATTTTTTTGCATTACAGTGCTGCATTACTTTAACTGACAATTGCGCGATCATGCAACGCTGCACCCAAGTTAACCACTTTGCCTACCAGGCCACTTTCACCCCCTTCCTGCCCAGGCCAGTTTTCAGTTTTCAGCGCTGTCACACTTTGAATGACAATTGCGCGGTCAAACAACACTGTACTCATATGAAATTTTTATCATTTTTTTTGTGACAGATAGAGCTTTATTTTGGTGGTATTTAATCACCTCGGGGGATTTTTTATTTTTTGCTAAACAAACCAAAAACCACTGAAAATTTTGAAAAAAAAAAAGTTTTCTTAGTTTTTGTTATAAAATTTTGTAAGTAAGTGATTTTTTTCCTTCACTGATGTGTGCTAATGAGGAGGCTGCAGTGATGGGCACTGATAGGTGGCACTGATGGGCACTGATTATTAGGCACTGGTAGGTGGCGCTGATGGGCATTGACAGGCATCACTGATGGGCACTGAAAGCCAGCACTCATATATGGCACTGATAGGTGGCACTGCTAGGCAGCACTGACTGGCACTGACTGGCATTGATAGGTGGCACTGACTGGCACAGATAGGTGACATTGATTGGCAGCACTGATAGGTGGCACTGACTGGCATTGATAGGTGGCTTGACTGGCACAGATAGGTGACATTGATTGGCAGCACTGATAGGCAGCACTGATGGGCAATGATAGGCGGCACTGACTGGCACTGATAGGTGGCACTGACTGGCACAGATAGGTGACATTGATTGGCAGCACTGATAGGTGGGCACTGACTGGCATTGATAGGTGGCACTGACTGGCATTGATAGGTGGCACTGACTGGCACAGATAGGTGACATTGATTGCAGCACTGATAGGCAGCACTGATGGGCAATGATAGGTGGCACTGACTGGCATTGATAGGTGGCACTGACTGGCACTGATAGCCACTGGCAGGTGGCATGGATGAGCACTGACAGCTGAAATTGATGGACACTTACAGGTGGCGCTGCTGGGGCTACAATGATGATCAGTGTACATGTCCCCTCTAAGGAATGCCAATTACCGGCTCTCCTCTCCTCTGTCAGCGTGACAGTTTTGTGAGGAGAGAAATGCAGATAACCAGCATTTCCCTACTTACATGCAATCAGCTGTGATTGGACACAGCAGATCACATGACCAAGCCGACATCTTCGGCTCTTTCCATTGATAAGTCCGAGGGGCACAGCTCACCACCGATCGCCGCGCTGTGCACCCCTGGAGCCGCGCATGCGCAGTTAGAGTGGGAGGACATCATGTGACGTCCTCCCAGAACGAGAGAACAGCCCTGCACCCATCATTACCTTATATGGCAGGTGGGGGGCGGTTAAACTTTTGTCCTTTTTTTCCCATAAACAGAGCTTTCTTTTGTTGGCATTTGATTGCCTTTGCACTTTTTACTTTTTGCGCTAAAAATGGAATGGCTGTCTAAGGTGTCCTGCGTGGCTCCAAAATGTTGCACTTTCTTTTGTGATGTGATCTTTTTGCAATAAAAACCTTTGGACCATATTGGAGATCCATGGTGTGCTGGTGAATATGTACGTTTGCTGTAGGGAGGGGGCGCCTTCCTTCTGTTACAAGAGATAGGAGTAGTGACAGCGGCGGTGTGTTTGACAAGCGAGTGACTGTCTGGGTGTAGGGTCCTCTAATCTTGCACATGAACCGTGGGGGGGGGGGGCGCAGTTTGGTATCCCGGCACTGAGTTTGAGCAGGCTGTCTCCCCCCTGCTGTGCAGTGTGCGCACCTTGCCTGGTCTTTTCCAATGGCTGAAAGAGAAAAGCAGTCAGCTTTTGTGGGCACCTTTCATGGGACATGAGCTGACGGTGCTGGAGGTATGCCGCCATTGAGGTAGGAAACCACTGCAGTGTTTATTATTATTATTATTATTATACAGTATTTATAAAGCACCAATAGTTGGCTCAGCGCTGTACATTACAAAGGGGGACAGAACATGTGACAGAACAATACCAATACAATGCAAAACATGAGGGGATCGAGGGCCCTGCTCTTTCGAGCTTACAATCTAGAAGGGAGGGGATGGTGGCACAGGAGGAGATAGCTGTGGGGGATGGAGTGGTAGGAAGAGTGGAGGAGGTCGGCAAGTTAGCAGGGGGTGGGGTAGGCTTCCCTGAAGAGATGGGTTTTCAGGGTGCGCCTAAAGGAGAGGAAAGTAGGTGATAATCTGATGGGTTGGGGCAGGGAGTTCCAGAGGATGGGTGACACCCTGGAGAAGTCCTGGAGGCGGGCATGGGAGGAGGAGACCAGGGAACTAGAGAGAAGGAGGTCTTGTGAGGAGCGGAGTGTGCGTGTTGGGTGGTTCTTGGATATTAGGTCAGTGATGTAGTTCGGGGCAGTATGGTGGACAGCTTTGTACGTCAGTGTTAGGATTTTGAATTTGATCCGTTGCGCAATCGGAAGCCAGTGGAGGGATTGGCAGAGGGGGGTGGCGGAGACAGAGCGGTTGGAAAGGTGAATGAGTCTGGCAGCCGTATTCAGGATGGACTGAAGCGGGGATAGCCTGCGGCGAGGCAGGCCAGTGAGGAGGGAGTTGCAGTAGTCGAGTCGTGATATGATGAGGGAGTGGATGAGCTGTTTAGTAGTTTCTGGGGTTAGGAACGTGCGGATTTTGGCGCAGATGGAGTTGCATGTTGCGGAGGTGGAGTCTGGATGTTGCGGAGGTGGAGTCTGCACGAGTTTGTTAAAGAGTGGACTTGGGCTTGAAAGGATAAGTTGGAGTCCAGAATGACACCCAGTACTCTGGCCTGCAGGGCGGGTTTGATGGTGGCGTTGTTGGATGTGACGGAGAAATCAATGGGGGGTGGTGTCCGGGCTGGGGGGAAGACAAGAAACTCGGTTTTGGAGAGGTTCAGTTTAAGGAGGTGGAGCGACATCCAATCTGATATGTCGCTCAGTAGGTGTGTGATTCGGGCTGAGACCAAGGGGGTGAGGTGGGGGGTTGAGAGATAGATTTGTGTGTTTATAGGTTCTAATCCTTGGCTGGTAATCAGAGCTTCTCCTCTACACACCCATGCCGCTCGGGATCAGACCACGCCTACACCCCCCCACCAATGTTTTCATTCTTAACAAAAGAAGCCTGGAAACACATGTCACTTACGTCATCACCACTGTCAGGAATCTGCCCATCACTGTGAAGGGGGATGTGAGTCTGCAATTTGAGAAACACAAACAAACAATTAACCTTATTTCAGCAAAGTCCAAACGTTTCTGGATACCTCCTAAAGTTAGATTACGATGTAAATAAAATACTTCACGTGGAAATGTAGTCAGAGAATGAAGTCCTGCTAAATGACGTCAGGCTGGCCCCTTTTGCAAGGATAGTTACTGTATGTAAAACAATAAAAATAATTTCCCTTTACTGTTTAACATCGAGTAATACACTGTCTCACCCTGCTCTGCACATGCTCAGTTGATCTTTATTATTTGGCACTGTGCCTAAAATGTAGAGGCTGATCTTCTGAAAGCTTTAAGATTTACTACTGCTTAGGGGCTCTGGGCTTCAGCAAAATGGCGGCCTCCAGCAAGAAGAGACAGGAACGATGCGGGAGGCAATTTACAGCACACACTCATTATGGTAGCAGAATTATTGATGTGGAATGTATGTTGGTAAAGATCATTATTTTTTTATTAAGTTGTTTATGGGTTCCACTTTCAGAATAACCATGTTTCAGCATACCATTATAGTAAGCCTGGCCAGGTGCCTATGGAGGCAGAATAAGAGGAGGCAGCATCCAGGTTCAATGTGTATAACTGTTACTTAAAGCACCTTCACCCAAAAATATGACTTTCTCATATATGGCTCCTCCCCCTTCAAATTGAAGACTTTTTCTTTAAAACAATGTAATTACATGACCCCCCCCCCCCCCCCCCCCCACATCCACACACACACACACACATAGAAAGTAGCAGGCCTATGCCAGACTATGGGAATTGGCAGAGCCATGAAGAAAGTCTATGCTTGCACCAGGCTTTCATGTAATTCCAGGCATGAGCAGACATATCATATGGCACGGCCAGCTCCCATAGGCCTGCCCAGGATCCACAGAGTGTCTACATATGCAAGAGATGTTGGGGCAAGATTGTGGCATGGGAGAACAATGACAGAGAACATTGGGCTGCAAGGAGGACACCAATGGACTCCATGGAATAGTAAGCATGTATTTTCTCTTTATATACACTAACCATTTAATAGGGAATAAATCAATGTATCCAGTTACAGGAAGTTTCTCTTTCATTTGTTTGTGTTTTCTGCCATCTTCTGGACTTGTGTGACTAAATTCAGAGAGTAAGGAGGGAGTTTGTGTAGGGGGATGATTGGAGGAGTCAAAAAGACTTACTAGAGTTTAGGAAACATAAATCTAACTCTTTTCTCTTGCTTGATCATCTTTACAGTGTCAATTTCGTAGTATGTACAGTATAAAGCTGAGCCCATCATTCCTTCAACTCCCTATTGTAGTATTGTTTTAATAAAAGAAAATGCCAAGACAGGCAAAGCTTTTAAAAAAGGTGTCACCTCGTAGGTGTGCCTAGGCCAGCCTGGTGTCTAAATAAGGTACTGGTATTGTCTCATGTGGCCCGAAATGGCTCTTAAGGACTACCTTACACATAATACCATGACCAATGTTTCCCTCTTACCTTTATGGCAGGGGTGGGCAACTGTGGCCCTCCAGATGTTGTAGAACTACAAGTCCCATGAGGCATTGCAAAACTGACAGTTACAAGAATGACTCCCAAAGGCAGAGGCATAATGGGACTTGTAGTTCAGCAACAGCTGGAGGGCCACAGTTGCCCACCCCTGCTTTATGGGAATCCCACAAGTTAGTGATTGGGGACTTCTTTATCAGCAAGACTTCCCACCTCAAGAAGAAGTGCCTCTTTCATCAATGCCTGGAAGCCACTTTTCAACCAATCTCATGCAGCTTTCAAAGCTGATCCCACACCCACTCATAGACAAAAATTAGATAAGGCTAGACTCGAGTTGGATTTTTTGTTAAAATTCCATGGAGAAGGCACTGCGTAGGTCCAGGCATAGGGTATGTATGAAAGCCCACAAACTAGACACCGTCCTTGCCCTGGCCTTACGCAGACAGGACAATATCCATAAACCTGTTCACCTAAAACTCACCAGAGTCTCCTACTCCAGCAATCCTCTGAAAGTACTCTAAGTATTCAGCAAACATCTTGCTGACCTATTCCACTAAGGTACAGTTCAATGAAGCTCAAGCAACCACACTCTTCTCTAAAATTACCCTCCCAACTCTTGCTGCATCCCAGTGCGCAAACCTAGAGAAACCTATCTTGAACATGAAGGTCCCTACCCCTAATATGATCAAGACATTGAAATGTAACAAGCATCCCGGTCCAGATGGCTTTATAGCCATCTATTACAAAAGGTTTGCTACTGGTTTAGCACCGGTGTTGGTATGTGCCTTTAATTCACTTCTAGATAGACCACAAAGCTCAAAGGCACTCTAGGCGTTCCAAATTTCCCTAAATAGTACTAAGTGGTGCACCTGGCACAACTTTCTAAATACCATGCAGTACATGTGACCTGATCTGGGTTGGCCTGGAGTCGGCCTGGATTGCGACCCTCTATCAGTTGCTAAGATGCTATAGTTACATCCTGGGGATTGTCTGATGCTTGAAATTCCTGTTATCCACCATTACATGACTCTTTGGAACAGCCTTAAATCTCATTATAGCCTACATTTCCCTCATAACCCTCTTCTGTCCTTCCTGTACAGCCCAGCCGTTTACCCAGCCTGGATTTCTCCCTCTTTGCTTCATCTATGGTCTTGCACTGACCTTTTCCAGGCCCATAAATTTATGACCCCTGACACATTTATGCCATTCCTGGTTCTCTGAGGCATTCGGAATTCTGGGCTCTGAACTCTTCTGTTATCTCTGAATTAAGCACTTTCTTACCACCTTCTTATGAACGGATTCCTTGCTTCCCAACATGACCAGTTTTGAACACATATGCAAAGTGCTTCCCAAGCTCGAGGTCTTATCTCTAGCTTATACACTGAACTACTAACCCCCCTACCCCACACATCTCTTCTCTACATTGCCAATTGGGAGCAAGACTTGGGCCTTCAATTGGAAGCTCAAGACTGGGACGAAATATGGTCCACTATGAAATCATCCCTGCAAAATAGCTAAGAGTAGCTATG